ATTGTCCTGACAAACTGTTGGCTCCTTTATCTGTTGCTATGACTTCCATGTCATAAATCCTAAAATCCTCATAGTTCAACATTCCTTTCACAGTAATTTCACCTGTTTTTGGATTTAAATCAAATGTTTCCTGTGTCTTCTCTGATGTGTAAAGACTGTATAAGTATGTTATATCAGAATTTGAGCCTTTATCCTTATCTGTAGCATTTAAATGAATAACAAGGCTTCCAATTGGGGAATTTTCCATTATTTTGACGTTGTATGCAGATTCATCAAATGTAGGTGCATTGTCATTTGTGTCTAAGACATGAACGACAATATTGACTGTACCAGATCGAGCCGGTGTTCCTCCATCCACAGCTGTGAGTACCAAATTATGGAGTCCCTGATTTTCCCGGTCTAATGTCTTTTTTAGAATCAAGTCAGCAAATTTTGATCCATCTCTTCCCGTCTGAATTTCAATGTTAAAATATTCACTTTCACTTAAAAAATATGTTTTCACCGAATTTGCTCCAACATCAGGGTCAACTGCATTGCTGAGAGAAAACCTCTCTCCCTTTGCTGTCGCTTCAGATATATCCAAATGAATGGCGTCTCTTCGAAATTGCGGGGCGTTGTCATTTATGTCTAACACTTCTACTTCAATGTTAAATATCCGTAGTGGGTTTTCCAGCGTTACTTCGAGTTTTAGATAACAGGACGAAGACGATTTGGTGTTGCAAATGTGCTCTCTGTCGATCCTCTCAACAATATACAGTTCACCGGTGTCTTTGTTCACTCCTAAATATTCCTTGTTCGCTATTATGTCAAGCCGCATCTTTCTCTTTGTTAGTGTTGTAACGTCAAGACCAAGATCATTAGCGAGGTTAGCGACAACTGATCCCGGTTTCATCTCTTCAGGTATGGAGTAATGGTTGACTGAGGTTGATATTTTGCGGACCGACAGAGAAAGAATAAGGAGCAGCACGTACCTCTGCGTGGAACTCTTTGTTAAGGCCTGACTCATTTCAAGATCCATATTGATAACAAACGAAGCGGTGAAAAAAAAAGAGGTTGTCAGCGATGCTGAATTTGCTCCGCCGTCATAAATCCGTAGCTTTTTACGATATTTTATATGCAGCCAAAATGTTGAAAAATTTCATCGTCCTCCCTGGATGACGGTTCAGCCCCTCTGAGCTGTCCGGTCTTTGCAGGAACACGCTCCGATAAAAGTACCTCCTAAACCACGTCATTAAGCTGAATTTTAAGATAGAACACAGCGCCACCATTTTATTATCATATGCCTTAAACAAAAGTAAAAAATGCAGAAAATTAATAATTCTCGTTATTAAAAAAAAAAAAAACATTTATTAAACATGGGAATTTTTATTTCTAAAAAAAAATTATGTGAGAATTTACTTTTCTTTTTAATATTGTCCCTCAGTTTCACTTGCAGATTTGTGAAATTGTAATGCTGCATATGGATTGAATATATCCCATCCATCTATTGATGTCCTTGTCCCTTTAATTCGCACCTATGTTCCAGATCAGCATCAAAAGTTGTATTTCCAGTCATGTGTCAAGTCGCCTGCTAAATCCTGGATAAATGGTTATCCTATTGTGTTAATCCTGCACGGATAGAAAGAATTTCATGTAAAAATATTGACAATCTTTTTCCAAAGTAAAAATAAAAGTTTGGAATTGATTTAATTTATTCTTAGTTAAAGGCTTAAACGTATCCATGTTTGAGCTTTTTTGCAGTAGCCTAATTTGTAGTAGGATGGAAGCATTTATCTTATTCTTAACCTATAGGGTTGACATATATATATATATATATATATATATATATATATATATATATATATATATATATATATATATATATATATATATATATATATACAGAGAGATTAGAGTATTTGTATATGTTTAAAAATGCTATGCATCATTATAAAGAACATGAGATTTAAAAAATCATATTATTTAGTACATCACAAATATAGTTAATTTGTTTTCATATGAAGGCTCTTTTCAAGTGGCTCTGACATGATAATATATATGTTTTTTGTTTTATCCTGAAGAAGGACAGTATAAAATGCAATGCAACAGATTATTACAATAATTAAATTTTGAGTTCAAAAGATTCCCACCTGCAGAGTAGAAGCTGCTGAACCACTAGTCTCTGACAGTCCTGTCCCTCTCGGTAGGCTGGACACGATGTACCTGGA